AGATAATTGTTGAAGCTGATGTTGGGTACATGGTTACACTCTCTCTACTTCTGTGAATGTTTGGATTTTTGAAGAGGAAAAAATGTGACTAAAAGAAGGTGGCAAACCTACTGACATGATAAGTGACATACATGGTAAGAGCTCCAGGGAGAAGGGAGCCTTGTGGGTGTAGAGGGGTCAGGCGAGGCTTCCCGGAGGAGGTGGAAGCCTCTTGGTGAGGATTCTTTGTTACAAGTAACAGAAACCAACTTGAGTCAGTGTAAACAGAACAGAGGACTTCCTTATAAGGATCTGGGGGCCCTTGGGCAGCCCAAGGGCCAGATGTTGCCAGTGCTTAGGAAGGGACGGGGCAGGGATGGAAGACCACTGGGATCCCAGGCCACCTGTCTCCGTGTTGGGCCGCCTTGTCCTGCATGCTCTGAAGCTTGGCTTTCTCTGCTTTGTCCAGGGGCAGGAGGAAGGGCTCCCACCCCCACTGCAGCTCCCAGCGAGCATCACGTCCATCCCAGACACAGCCCAGGCCCAAGTCCCTGAGTATTCTAGCAAAACGTACCTGGAGCAAATAGTTGGTGGAGCTCCCTCCTGTAGGTGAAGGGAGGTAATTAAGGGGTTACTTTTGAGGTAACCCTTTCTCCCCCCTCCCCTCCGACAAACAAAAAAGACTAGAAGGATGGTAGAATAAATATGAATACAGAAGGCATCTGGATTAGAGACTAGCAAGAGTGAATGATTCAGAGACTATTGGGGAACAGCATGGATCCTCTTGGCACTGACGGGGTGGGGTGGGGGCTTGGGGAGGGCCCACATAGGTAGGAACCCCACCCAGCAGGACCTGATTCTCTCTGTTGCTTGTGTTTTTTCTCAAACAAATGTTAGCTCTTATTTTTCCCCCAAGCTTCAGAGACATTGAACTCTACATTCTGTGTATCTCATATGTAGTTCCTCTTATTTACTGAGCCCTTAGTACCTACCATCAAGTAGGAATTACTGTTCCCACCTGACAGCCAAGGAAACAGGCTTCAGGAGGCTCTGTAATTTGGCCTCCTGCAGGGTCACACAGCTCCTGCTGGTAGAGCTAGGATTCAAATCCAGATCTGCCTAACCCCAAAGTTGGTGCTACCATTTCCACACCACACTGTATACCTACTTAATGTAATTTTTGATGCCAATTGATGGTAAGAATCAGTGGATGTTAGGGTTCTTGGTTGTTGGTGAACACGAATTAGCTCAAACAATAAAAGAGGTTTTTTGTTTTTGCTTTTTGGCTTAGCTCACCAAACCTCAGGAAGAATAAGAATGCAGCCTGGCCTTAGGGAAAATTGTGTCCAAGCACTCAAATGCCATTAGCTGCTATACTTCAATTATGGTGTGCAGTCGGTTCTCTATACCTGCATCCTTGGATTCAACCAACCTGCAGATCGAAAATATTTGGGAAAAAATAATTCCAGAAAGTTCCAAAAGGCAAAACTTCATTTACATAGCATTTACATTGTATTTATAACTATTTACATTGTATTGGGTATTGTAAGTAATCTAGAGATGATTTAAAGCATTCAAGAGGACGTGCATAGGTTATGTGCAAATACTGCATCATTTTATATAAGGAATTTGAGCATCTGCAGATTTCGGCATCCCCGGGGGTGGGCGGGGGTGGGGGGTGGGGGGGAATGTCCTGAAACCTGCGAATTCTCTCTCATTTGTTTCTCTTCTGATGTTGGCTTTATTCTCTCAGGACAGCCGTCTCTACCACATGGGAACCACTGCCTCTGGCTTTAGTCTCATTATCAGGGAGGCAAGATCTTTTCCCAGCTTCTGTTAGAAAATCCTAAGGAAGGGCTCTAATTGGACTAATAGTGGTCACATACCCAGACCCGCCAGATCACCATGCCAGGGGATGGGGGAATTGGGAGTGGCCCAGCCTGCATCAGGGGACAGGGTTCCGATTGTCACGCTCCGCCTGGAGCAGCTGGTTGGAGTCAGGGAGGAGCACTTCTCCCAGCTAGTGTATGTGGTGGGGAGGGTCCTTCTCAGTAGGTCACACAGGATGTTCCCGCTCCACTTAGCTTACGTTTGTCCTTACCTGGCAAGAGCGAATGACTTCCTAGGCATTTCCTTTAGGGCCTGTCTCAAGCTAAGCTAGGAACGACTGGTGAGTGACCTTGACTTCACCGGTGAATCATGCTGACCCTGACCCAGGCACAAATGGCAATGCCTTACTTTGGTGCAGCTTGGATCACCATAACTATGGTGATATTATTAGAAATTCTCTCCCACTTTCCATTTAAAAATGAACAGATCTCCGACCTACCTCTACCGTTCCTTTTTCCATCTTTTTTTTTTAAATTTCCTCTCCTCCTGCTGAGCAAAATTAGCTTTCAGCAGGTCAAAGCAGGTTTTTAGCTAATTTCTCTTTCTTGAAGTACAGATAATAAGCATCCAAGTGAGCCAGTGTTGTTTTTCTGCCCACAGGCGGTTGATTGGCTTTGTGATAGACTGGATATCTGCTTGTCTCCTGAAGTCGCCCACATAGTCTAGAAGGGGAAGTATACTGCTCTAAGGCGTGTTCTTTTAATGGGAAGGTTACTCTGTGGTCTTTGGCAAGTGGCTTGTATTTGAGCCTTAATTTCCATATCTATAATATAGGGCTGCTCTGCCATGCATTAGTATGGGTTCATTAGAAATGAGAGATCAGGGAATCCAGGATCCATAAACTCTTGCCTTTACTGCCCCCTTTTCTCTTTTCTTTTTCTTTTTCTTTTTTTTTTGCGGTACGCGGGCCTCTCACCGCTGCAGCCCCTCCCGTTGCAGAGCACAGGCCCAGCGGCCACGGCTCACGGGTCCAGCCGCTCCGCGGCACGTGGGATCCTCCCGGACCGGGGCACGAACCTGTGTCCCCTGCATCGGCAGGCGGACTCCCAACCACTGCGCCACCAGGGAAGCCCCCCTTTTCTTTTTCTCTCTCCCTTCTCTCCCTCTCCCTTTATTGTAACCCCTATACCTTTTGCTGTAGCTGTTGTTACTACCTGATTTCAAATTTGTGCTGATGAAAACCAAATCCTGAACTCTTGCAACATCATCTCTTGTTTAATGGTCAGCATTTGTGTGTCTTTTGGGTCAGGGATGAGCACTGCATTTGCAGACAGGGGTGCACAAAGGTAGAAAATGAAAGCATTTCAAAACTAATGAATCAGGGACTTCCCTGGTGGCACAGTGGTTAAGAATCTGCCTGCCAATGCAGGGGACACGGGTTCGATCCCTGGTCCGGGAAGATCCCACATGTCTCGGAGCAGCTAAGCCTGTGCACCACCACTACTGAGCCTGTGCTCTAGAGCCCGTGAGCCACAACTACTGAGCCCACATGCCACAACTACTGAAGCCTGTGCACCCTAGAGCCCACGCACCGCAACAAGAGAAGCCACTGCAATGAGAAGCCCGTGCACCGCAACACAGACTAGCCCCCACTCGCCACAACTAGAGAAAGCCCACACGCAGCAACAAAGACCCAACGCAGCCAAAAATAAAAAATTAAAAAGAAAGAACAAAAAAAAACCTACTGAATCTTGGGAGGGAAGCAGAAATTGAAATGCAGTTGCTGGACGTGGTTGCAAAACTCTTGAAAGTGGAGAGATAAAAGTAGCTGCTTGTTAGGACCTGGCACACGTGCTCCGAAGGCTCACTGTTTGAACTCACTTGTTAATCGGGAGGTGGGAAACAGCCTCTAGTTCCTGCTGTCAGCACGTCTCTTGCAGTTAAACTTGTCAAGGAGGAGGATAATGAGCTGGAGCTGAGAAGGAAGCGCTTTGCTCACTAAACTGGAGCTCAGAATTATTTTCTCTCACAACCAGATTTTAAGGATTTCAGCCTACCCCAAGTCAGCTCCTATTCCCAGATAAAGCTTGTTTCATTGGTAATGTGAGTGACCCCCCCCCGCCTGCTTCCCAACCACAACTTTTTAAAAAATTGAGATACAGTTGACATATAACATTGTATTAGTTTCAGATATAGAACCTAATGGTTTGATATACATGTATATTGTGAAGTGATTGGCCACAAGAAGTCTAGTTAACATCCATCGCCTTACATAGTTACAGTTTTTTTCTTGTGATGAGAACCTTTAAGATCTACTCTCTTAGCAACTTTCAAATACACAATACAGTATTGTTAACTGTAGTCACCATGCCGTGCGTTGCGTCTCTAGGACTTATTCATCTTATAACTGGAGGTTTGTGCCTTTTGACCGCCTTCACCCACAACTTAGTAATGGCTTTTCGGAAACTTTGGAGTACCACCCACTGTGGTTTGCCATTTGCTCTGTTGTTGAGACCCGGATTAGCTAGCCTCTGGATAAACAATCTATGGCTTCTACTCTGGCCTCTGCCATTACCTTACTTTGTAACTTTGACAGATAACTCCCAGACTCTGGGCCTCGGTGTTTCTCGTCTGTGCACAGGGGTTAATAATGCTTACTTCACACCATTGTTGTGAGGATTAAAGAAGACACTATATTTAAAAGGCCTGGCATAGTAGGTGCTCAATGAACCAGAGCTGTTGTGACGTGTTCCGAGGTTGGCTGGCTTCTAATTGGTTGAGTTCTGTCTCCCCTGGTGGTGACAGCCTGGACAGGGACAGGGACCTGTCCTTCTTACTCATAGCTCAGTGCAGGTACTTTATTAGTGTTTATAGAATAAACAAGTGACCCCCCTGAATTCATTAATCCAAAGAGGAGTAGAAAATGCTTAGAAGTCGGGGCTTCCCTGGTGGCTCAGTGGTTAAGAATCCGCCTGCCAGTGCAGAGGACACGGGTTCGAGCCCTGGTCCGGGAAGATCCCACATGCCACGGAGCAACTAAGCCCGTGTACCACTACTGAGCCTGCGCTCTAGAGCCCGTGAGCCACAACTACTGAAGCCCACGCGCCTAGAGCCCGTGCTCCGCAACAAGAGAAGCCACCGCAATGAGAAGCCCGTGCACCGCGACGAAGAGCAGTCCCCGCTCGCCCCAACTAGAGAAAGCCCACGCGCAGCAACAAAGACCCAACGCAGCCAAAAATAAATAAATTAATTTAAAAAAGAAAGAAAATGCTCAGACGTCAAGTTAATATCATGTGCTCATGGGGGAAATATCAGGAGGCTTTGAATAGTGGTTATTTCTGGTGTAGAAAATATCAAAGAAAATACTTTCTTCCACTTAGTTTTTTCATAACACCTCCTTAATCATTTTTGGAGAAGGAGGGTTTATCCATCTTCATTGCTGCAGAGCCGGGGCAGGATCTGGGTCTCAGACCTTAGCATCTTGCAGGTTTCCTAGGGAAGCTTGTCGGCCTGGGAGCTGAGAGAGTGGTAGATGCTTGCTGCGGAATACAGAGTGTCCCACCACACGCTGGGGCTCCTCCCAGCCTCACTCTCCTAGTATTGGAGGGTCAGAAAGAGAACCCAAGGCCTGAAGAGGCCTCAGGGAGTAGAGAGGGCTTGCGCCTGTGATGTGAACAATGTTTGAGGTTGCTGCTAGGGAAGATGTGGCAGGAAAAGCCCGATTAAACCTCCCAGGGCTCCAAAGCATGGCAGTATTCCATGCTGGGAAGGGCACTCAAAAGAACCAGGCGCCTGGATGTAGAGGTGAACGGGTGGGTGGGAAAGGAGGAGGTTTTAGGGGTGGGGACCAGCACAGAGAGGCAGGCGAGCCCCAGCCTGGGGAAGGTGGACACGGAGACGTGCTGCAGCAAGAAGTTGCAGAAGTGAGCAGGACAGCGGGCTTGGAAGGGCAAGCCGAGGGGCCTGGACCGTACTGCGAGGCAGGCTGTGTGCGGGGGGCTGTCCCACGGGAGGAGTGCCGGTCACTGTGCAAGACAGGCTGGGGGAGGAGTTGCTGGGCACGGGAACAGAGGAAGGAGAGGCGGTGACTGTGGGAAGCATATGCAGGAGGCTGACAGTTGGAGGAAACAATCTCTCTGGCCTTATCTGATCTCTTTTCTGCCCATAGAGAAGAGCCCGACTTGGCTGGGGCTGCCGGGAAGGAGCATGTCCTGGCCTGGCTGCTCTGGACACACGCTCTGGAGTGGAGTGGAGTGCCCAGGTCTCCAAGCAACTTCTTGTCAGGCCTTCAGGGTCACCAGGAGGGGCCCTGTGTGTGCATCTGCCTTCCAGGATGGATGTGGTCCAAGCAGGGAGACCCCCCCTGAGGGTTTCCCTCTGCTCCACTCTGGCCCCCACCCGCATGGATCTCTGCAGCCTCTCAGGCAGCGAAGTTCCCTGGGGCAGGTGGCGGAAGCAGGAGCCATAGCCAAGGAGGGAGGAAAGTGGCGTTATATAAGTCTGCAAAAAAGGAGGCTGGCTTGCCATGTGACTAGAAATCAGATACAAGGACAGTCACAGAGGCAGTGCAGCCGCTCCGGAGCAGCAGTTGTGGCCTGGAGAGTGGTGTCTCAGCAGCAGGGGGGAGTGAGGGAGTGGGTGTCTGGTGCTGTGAACTGCCTGTCTTAGAGGGCAACCCATGAAAGAATCATTTTTTGTGATCCTGTAACGTGTGTGCTATTTAAATGCCCACAGTTCATTCGATTGATCCTGGTCTCCATCTGGTGAGGTTGCGAGAGCTGGGATTGTTACCACTGCTTTACTGATACACAGACCACAGACTACAGAAGTGAAGGGACTTGCTGAAGGCTGGACGTAGAGCAGGCGGCAGGGCCAGGATTTGAATACAGGTCCCCTGTCTCTGTAGCCAGTGCCACTCTTTTGCTTTATAACAAGGCCTAGCAGGTCATTTCTAAACCGGCCATGGGAACGTTGGAAGGTGAGGGAGCTCAGGGCTTCGTGGTCCAGTTGCAGGAAGGAAAGGCTGGGACGTTCTTCGGTGGAGGGAGGGACTCATGTTGGGGCGCCTCCCTGTGCCCAGCTCTCCCGGCTCCGGCCTGTTACTCAGCCTCACTTCGCACACACTGAACACCGGCCTCCAGGGTCAGGCATTTGTCCTCTGTTGGAGAAGGGTCTTGGTGCTGTGGAGACGAGGACCAAGGGCTCCTCGGCGGGAAGTGTTTGTCGGGGCCGGTCCTAACCCCAGGCTTGGGAAGAAACAAATGAAAAGTTGGTTCCTGAGCCCCTGAAGTTTATAACCTCCCCGTGTGTTTGAAATAATTCTCCAGGAGGCCGAACGGTTCACCACGTGACTTCCCCCAGGTGAGTGTTCCAGGGCCGTCCCTGCACACAGGCCTTCCCTCATCTCCCTGTCGCGGCAGCAGCCCCCCCCTCACTGTCTGGGCTCTTACCAGGTTTTGTTACTATTTTCTTCATGGACTTGAGACCACCTGATGCTGCACATTGGTTTGTTGGTTTGCTTAGTCTGTCTCCTCACACTAAAGTGTAAGCTTTGTGACAGTGGGAACTGGGTTAGTTTGCTGGCTGTTGTGTCCCAGGTACGTGTGTGGTGCCGGCATGTGGCAGGAGCTCAGTGGACAGGGGAATGAGTGATGTGGCAGCAGGGAGGGTGGGGAGAGGACAGGTCCAGGCATCACAAGGTCTGAGTTCTGGTTCCTGCTCTATCCAATTTTTGCTGTGTGACCTCAGTCAACTTCCTGGATCCCTTTGGGCTGTAGGCTTTTCGTCTCCACCATGAAGGGGAGGAACCAGATGCCCTGTAAGGCTGTTTCTGACACCTGTGTTCTGAGAGTCTCTACATGAGAGACACGGGAGGTTGCCAAGGGGTTTGGAAAGATCTCGCATCCTGCGCTGTCGTGTCTTGTGACACGTTGAGGGCTGGGTCTTAGAAGACAGCACCCGTGGTGCTGAGTGTGTGCATGTGTACATGGTGAGTTTATCTCCATTCACTCACAGGCATTTTGGAGCACCTCCTATGTACCAGGTATTGTCCTAGCTCTGCAGTTACAGGGGCGAGGCAGATAGCCAACATCCCTGCCCTGGTGGAGCCTGTGGTGGGTGGAGAGAGGCTAGAGCTGGCTGGGGGCTGTGGTTAGGACCTGACCCAGGCTGGGGTTGATGAGGGGAGGTAGGCAGGTGAAGGACTTACTGGGATATGAGAGGGTGATTATTTTTTTTTTTTTCAGTTTACGCTTGGAAAGATACTTAAATGGATCTGTTAGAATCTGTTTAAGGATAAATAAACACATTCATATGAGTATTGAAGGGGAAAATAATAAAATGTTAATAGTGGCTCTGGTACGTTGGAATTATGGGGGTTTCATTTTTTTCCTCTGGTTCTCCAGATGTCCTATATAGTGTCTGTATTACTTCCGTCAGATTCCCTGGCAGGGTTTACGATTTTGCTCCTGGGTTTGGCCTGCTCTTGAGCCGGCCTCATTGTTTGCTTTGCTGATGTCTGTCCACAGAGCCCTGGGGACCTTTACCAAGTCTCAGTAAGTGAGAATTCTTGGCTCTGCTCTGCCTGCTTCATGGGGCAGTTGTTTGAATCAGAGGAGATGGTAGAAGAAAAACATTTGGAAATTCACCTCTTGGCAAAGGGAAGAGCCAGTGGACTAATATTGGTGATGGGAGCCAGGGCGGGCCGCGGGGATGGTCCGAGTGCAGGGAAGGGGAATGGGGCTGGTGCTGGGGGCAGTGCCTTCACCCTGAGGAGCAGCTTTCAGGCCTCCCTAGTTCTCTGGCCTTGGTAGCAAGAGACTCTCCCTGACTAACAGGTAGATGCAGTTGAGCAGGCTGTTAGGGATGTGACTTCAGTGAAAGAGAATCAAGAGCTGGCTCCCAGCCCCTGGCACACACATTTATAAAACCCACATGCTCTGTGCATGAGGTCAATAATAGGAGTTCCGCCACCGCAGCAACACACAGCTCTACCCACCACCAGCCCCTCCCATCAGGAGGCTTGCACAGGCCTCTTGGATAGCCTCATCCACCAAAGGGCATACAGAAGGGGCAAGAAGGTCTACAATCCTGCAGCCTGTGGAATGAAAACCACATTCACAGAAAGATAAACAAAAAGAAAATGCGGAGGAGTATGTACCTGATGAAGTCACAAGATGGAACCCCAGAGGGACAACTGAATGAAGTGGAGATAGGCAACCTTCCAAGAAAGAATTCAGAATAATGATGGTGAAGATGATCCGGGACCTCGGAAAGAAATGGAGGCGGGGATCCAGAAGATGCAAGAAATGATTGGCGAGGACCTGGGGGAATTAAAGAACAAACAGACAGAGATGAACAATGCAGTGACTGGAATGAAAAATACACTGGAGGGAATCAATAGCAGAATAACTGAGTCAGAAAAATGGATGGGTGACCTGGAAGACAGAATGGTGGAATTCACTGCCATGGAACAGAATAAAGAAAAAGGAAAGGAGAGAAGTGAAGACAGCCTAAGAGACATCTGGGACAACATTAAGCGCACCAACACTTGCATTATAGGGGTCCCAGAAGGAGAAGAGAGAGAGAGGGGACCCGAGAAAATATTTGAAGAGAGTATAGTTGAAAATTTCCCTCACATGGGAAAGGAAATAGCCACCCAAGTCCAGGAAGTGCAGAGAGTCCCAGGCAGGATAATCCCAAGGAGAAACACACGGAGACACATAGTAATCAAACGGACAAAAATTTAAGACAAAGAGATTATTGAAAGCAGCGAGGGAAAAGCGACAAATGGCATACAAGGGAACTCACATAAGGTTAACAGCTGATTTCTCAGCAGAAACTCTACAAGCCAGAAGGGAGTGGCACGATATATTTAAATTGAAGAAAGGGAAAAACCTACAGCCAGGGTTACTCTACCCAGCAAGGATCTCATTCAGGTTCGACAGAAAAATCAAAAGCTTTACAGACAAGCAAAAGCTAAGAGAATTCAGCACCACCAAATCATCTCTACAGCAAATGCTAAAGGAACTTCTCTACGTGGGAAACACAAGAGAATAAAAGGACCTGCAAAAACAAACTCAAAACAATTAAGAAAGTGGTAACATGAACATACATAATGATAATTACCTTAAATGTGAGTGGATTAAACGCTCCAACGCAGAGACACAGGCTCGCTGAATGGAAACAAAAAAAAAGACCCATATATATGCTGTCTACAAGAGACCCACTTCAGACCTCGGGACACATACAGACTGAAAGTGAGGGGATGGAAGAAGATATTCCATGCAAATGGAAATCAAAAGAAAGCTAGAGTAGCAATACTCATATCAGATAAAATAGAATCTAAAATAAAGAATGTTACAAGAGACAAGGAAGAACACTACATAATGATCAAGGGATCAATCCAAGAAGAAGACATAACAATTATAACTATATATGCACCCAACATAGGAGCACCTCAATACATAAGGCAACTACTAACAGCTATAAAAGAGGAAATCAACAGTAACACAATAATAGTGGGGGACTTTAACACCTCACTTACACAAATGGACAGACCATCCAGACAGAAAATTAATAAGGAAACACAAGCTTTAAATGACACAATTGACCAGATAGATTTAAGTGCTATTTATAGGACATTCTGCAAAAAAATAAAAAAATAATAGGAGTTCCTGCCTCCATCCCATCCTCCTTTAGTCTTTGGTCTGTAGCCTCAGCAAGCATCCAGGTCTTATTATGTCTTCCTACCTTATGATCCAGCGGCAGACATTGTGTCTTGCCAACAGGGGCAGTTGAAACAACAGAGCTTGAAATCTTGATTATTCATGGTAACTGACTCCTTCCTATGGGTCATCTGGCCCAGTCTGGATTCTCAAAGAGTGTAAAACACTGGCTTTTTGTCCCGCTTCTACAGCAGCTTGTCATTCCTCTGCTGACAGCCCTTCCTCGAACCCTGAACGAAGGGCAATAAGGGGCCTTGGTGTCCAGTGCTCCTAAGCCAAGGGCTGGCTCTGTGATGGGGGCTGGGGTGTGTCGTGGCATTCGTGGTCAGGGCTGGTCTGTCTGGGGAGTGCTGACCTTCCCCTTCCCAACCTACCTGTGTCTATTCTCTACTTTTCTGTTTTCTTTTCCCTACAGATGTCAAGCCTTCCAACATCCTAGTGAACTCCCGTGGGGAGATCAAGCTCTGTGACTTTGGGGTCAGCGGGCAGCTCATCGACTCCATGGCCAACTCCTTTGTGGGCACAAGGTCCTACATGTCGGTATGAGCACCTCGTTCCATTTTTCCAGCTTCTTATCTGATCAGGAATAGAAGCCAAGTGGGTGCCTTCCCCTACGGAGCCAGACCCTTGTGCTTGGGTGATGGGGGTGGGTGAGAAAGAACGAGGGATGAGGCATTGTGGTCCCCTCCCAGAGGAGAACAAAGTCTGATGGGGAGATGGTCTTGGCCTTTCACAGGCCTTGGAGCATGGTTGGGGCCCTGGGGCCCTGATTCAGTGGAAGAGATAGTAGGATCACAGCTTCAGCTCTCACTGGCACTTGGATGTTTCCCAGAGCTTGGCTTCCATCCTGAAGACATTGAGCTCCAGCTACCCTCAGGACCTCTGCCTGATCGTCTTCAGACCCTCAGACTGACATGCCCAGACATGCCCCCACCCCACATTGCCCCACCATTTCCATTAGCAGTAAATGGCATCACTGTTTCCTTAGTTTTTCAAGGTAGAAACCTGAGCATCAGCCTTTAACCTCTCTTCCCAGCTCCCCATCCTTTTAGCATCTAGCAACCCCCAACTCCTGTGAGTCTATTCAGAATTGTCTCCCCAGTCCAGCCTCTTCTCTCCCTCCTCACTGCATGTCTCCCAGTTACCTGCCCATCTCTCACCACAGCACACCTACCTGGTGTTTCCTGCTTCCAGCCCTGCTGGCTTCCACCGCGCCCGGGGTGACATTGGCATGTTCTCTTGCTTCCCCCATACAACCAGCTCCCTGGGGGGCAGGGATAGGGCCGGAGGTGTCTCTGTTGTCCCAAGGGTCTGGTTTGGCTCCTGGCACGCTGTAGATGTTCAGGGAATTCTTGGCAAGTGAGTGAATGTTTGGTTGACTGAATGGGTGAGTAAATGGCTAACATGCTCGTCAGTACGATTCAGAAAGGGGAAATGTGGCTCTGGGTGAGTGCTGGCCAGGGCAGAGTAGAGGAGCTTTAGTTGGAGTGAGTGGGAGGCCTTCGCGGAGGTGGAAGGAGGGGCCGGCACGGGGGCTCAGGGCATCTTAGCGCGTTGTGTTTTCTGTACACTCTTCAAGGACTTTCACATCCTGGAGTGGTGATCCTCTTTGATCTATATGGTTGTCCCATGAAGTAAAGATTAGTGTACCCATTTTAGAGACAAGGAAATGTAGACTCAGGGAGGTGAAGTGACCTGCCCACTTCACCTTGCAGAGCCGGCGTTGAAAGCCAGGCTTCCTTGCCGGTCAGTCCCCCTTTGCACTGCAGGCTCTCACTTGCCTCTTAGGTAAGATTTGGCAGCTGCTCCTGGCCGCCCTGTGTGGAAGGTCCTGCTCACACCCTCATTCCTTCTTGTCTGTCCCCTGCCCACACTGGCTCCAGCCACTGGTAACATGACTTACCTGGCGCTGACCCGCATCGCCACCCCCTCCATTCCAGTGGCTAAAGGCATGAAGCCCATCAGCTCTTCAGCTTCTTCCCTAAATGTCTAAAAACGGAGCAGCTAGCACCCTGGGCTACTCAGCTGCCAACTATCAAGTTCAAAATCGATGAACAGGCCCTGGAACTTATATTGATCCAGGGTTTAGTGGTTTGGGTTTTTGTGGTTACATGGTCAGTTCCAAAATAGTTCAGTGTTGGGGTTAGTGAAAAATCCTATGGGTGAAATGAATTTGATGTCTAAATAAGTGCACGACGGTCAGAATAAAGATTTTTTTTTTTGGTAGGGTTCTTGAAATACATGTACTATTTCAATTAATGCTCAGTAAAAATAATTTTTGTATAGCACTATATATAATATTTATATTTATATATTATATATATAAGAAATATTTCTTTCTCTTTGACTATTCTCACCAATAACAACTCATATTTGCATAACATTTTGCAACATCTAACATACATTTTCATTTGATTTGACCTTTCCAGTGCCCTAGTTAGTAGAGCAGGTATTTTGTTATGTTGTTAGTCCCATTTCATTAGCCCCAGGAAACTGAGGCTCAGGATCACCTAGCTTGTAAGCCCCAGACTTGGGACTTGAACCCAGATCCTTTGCCTTTTCTACTCTTCGATGTTGCCCAAGAACAGTGAGTTAGTGGCAAAGCTGGTCTTAGAACTCAGCTTTCCTTACTCTCAAGGCCAGTGTTCTTTCTACCCACTGATACCTCATTCATGACCCATGTTCCAGAAGCTTCATGTTTTTGGACTCAGGACTCAAGATGAGCCTCTCATGCTGGGCTTTGGATAAGCTGTCCTGCACATGCAGGACAGTGACGAGGATGAGCAAAGCTGGAGCCACAGCTGAAGCTTAGCCAGGGCCCAGCTGGGTAGGATGCTGTTAGTTCAGGGCAGGTTATAGGGGAGACAGGAGTTAGGGGTCAGACCCACGGGAGCCAGGTAGGATTTGGTAGATACAGTATTTGGGGGCAGGTGGGAAGCCAAATTAAAGAGGTTAGTGGAGGTCCTGAAACAGGATGTGAGCTCTGGAGAGGAAGGGGCAGAAGAAGATAAAATGCATCAGTGGACCCAGGGCTGGGACCAAGCAGGGCAGCCCTGCACTCTCTTGCAGTGCAAGCAAGCCTCAAAGGGGCAGGAAGCCCCAGGTATTCATGAGGACTCGCCCATCCCTCTTCTGCGTGGGCCAAGCTAGCTCACAGGTGATAAATGTGTCTGTCTCTCCTGCAGCCAGAAAGACTCCAGGGGACTCATTACTCGGTGCAGTCGGACATCTGGAGCATGGGGCTCTCTCTGGTTGAGATGGCGGTCGGGAGGTATCCCATCCCTCCTCCAGATGCCAAGGAGCTGGAGCTGGTGTTTGGGTGCCAGGTGGAGGGAGATGCGGCTGAGACACCGCCCCGGCCAAGGACTCCCGGAAGGCCCCTCAGCTGTGAGTGGCCTGGTGTGGCCCCAGCTTGGCCTGTGGGTGGTCTTTTGCTGTCAGGGGTTTCTGGAGGTCTGATCCTCTGTCTCTGGACCCAGGCTGGGGCACGGGTCTCCAGGTGTAGGAAATTATTATTACCAACAACTTCCTACCATTTGTTGAGTGCCCACTGTGTTCCTGGTACTGCGCCTAGTATGTTTTAGGTATTGTCTAATTTTAAAAATCATGACTTTGTTTGAGGTAGATTTTTTTAAAAGTTGAGATAAAATTAACGTAACATAAAACGCACATTTTAAAATGTACAGTTCATTGGTTTTTAGTATATTCCTCCATGCTGTACCATCATCACCACTGTGTAATTCAGAACATTTGCATCACCCCAGAAAGAAACCATCTCCATTAGCAATCACTCCCAGCTGCCCCACCCAGACCCCCGGGCAATCACCAGTCTACTTTCTATCTCCGTAGATTTGCCTGGCGTTGTCTAATTTTAATAGCACTACTCTAATTTCCATTTTAGATGGGAGGAAACTGACACACAGAGTGCTTGACTCGCCACATGCGTTGATTTGTTAAGTGGCCCAGTCTGACTCTGAGGTGGTAAGCACTGTGTAGCGCTGCCTGCCTTTCTGAACTGGGAAGGAAACCTGGTGTTGGAAGGGGCTGGCCCAGCTATCATCTCCTGAGGTAGCTCCTGCTAGGACGTTCCTGTCTGACCAGGGAGGCCTGGTCTCTACCTCCATGAGGCCCACACGGGAGAGGGCATGTAGGAAAGGAAAAACAGGAGGGCCAAGAGGAAGAGACCCAAGTTCAGGGAAAATGAAAACTAAATAACTCTAAAGGATTTAGTTATTATCTCATTTGCTCCTCTTTGAGTGTAAGGAAGGGGAGAAAGGCGGACATAATTTTTACCCATCTCTACAAAACTCAAAACGAGGCTCAGTGGTCAGCTGATTTACCTAAGGTCACAAATCTTGGATGCGGCAGAGCCCAGACTCCAACCCTGGTCAGCTGACTCCGTGGCTTTGGCTGGTCCCCTCTGTGTTCAGGCCTTATCTGTGGCTCTTCTGT